CCCTCCCCCCAGCCCTCCTGCAAGCAGAGGCCCCTGCAGCAGCAACTCCTCTTCTGCTTGGTGCTTTGGTGCTGCCACTCAGGCTGCCCCTCCCCCAGACGGTGATCCCAGGAGCAGGGACGGGGCGCACGCCATGGCTTCTTGGGGCTCCCCCTGAGGCTTCGTACGAGAATGGGCACAGATTTCCATGGACGGAGCGTTTGCGTCCCTGCCAATTCCTACCCCAGGGGACGGGCCAGCAGGGTGGTGATCGGGCCTTGGGAGCGGGGCCTCAGGGTGGGATGAGCGTCCTTGGAGGACCTGTGGCCACGTGACTCAGCGGGGCTGTGGCAGCGACTCTGCGCCATCGGAAGGAAATGCTTCTGACATGCAATGGGGAGGGGTCGGGGTGCTGATGTTAAGTCAGAGGCATTGATGTTAAGTCGGGGTGCTGACGTTAAGTCAGAGGCATTGATGTTAAGTCGGGGTGCTGACGTTAAGTCAGAGGCATTGATGTTAAGTCGGGGTGCTGACGTTAAGTCAGAGGCATTGATGTTAAGTCGGGGTGCTGACGTTAAGTCAGAGGCATTGATGTTAAGTCGGGGTGCTGACGTTAAGTCAGAGGCATTGATGTTAAGTTGGGGTGCTGATGTTGTCAGAGGCATTGATGTTAAGTTGGGGTGCTGATATTAAGTTTAAGGGTGCTGATATTAAGTCAGGGTGACGATGTTGAGCCAGGTGCTGACGTTAGGTTTAAGGGTGCTGATGTTAAGTCAGGGTGCTGATGTTAGGTTCAAGGGTGTTGAGGTTAAGTGTCAGGGGTTGATGTTAACTCACAGGCATTGACGTTAAGTCGGGTGATGATGTTAAATCAGGTGATGATGTTAAGTCAGGGGTGCTCATGTTAAGTCAGGGGTGCTCATGTTAAGTCAGAGGTGCTCATGTTGAGTCAGAGGTGCTATGTGTTCCATTTCTGTGACCAGAACTGCGGCTCTCAGTTATAGGGTGCAGGAGACGTTGAACTATTTTGTTCAGGCACAGAAACTGAGACTGGAGAGATCCCCAGGGGAGCAGTGGAAAGAAGTGACATCAGCAAACTGGGGCACAGTCCCAGCGCTGGGCCCGGACTGCAGGCTGAGCAGGGGAAGGCGTGAGCTTCGGGGGAGCTGAGGTCCGCGTGTCCTCGGAGCCCGCATGGTGGAAGCTTCGGCCCCAGGCGTCAGGAGGGAGTGGGGAGGGCTCCGTGGGCGGGGTGCATCCTGGGAGGAGCGGGTCCCTCTTCCCTCTCAACCCCTCCCCTTCCGCAGTGGGGTGACGCCGCCCACAGCCCCTCGGCAGCTGCGGGCCTTGGTGCCATGAGAACCAAGTCTTCCTTACGTGGCGCCTGCCTTGTGCCACAGCAGCCGAGGCCGAGGGCCGTGGGCGTCAGTGCCTTGTCGGCTGTGATCACAGCAGTGGGGTGGCGGGCGCTCTCGTTCCCGGCCGACCGATGAGGAGGCAGATGGGCAGGAGTCTGCTCCCAGCCGCTGGGGCAGAGGGCAGCCTGGTGTGCCGGCCGGGCTGGACCGGGGCCACGTTCACAGGCCGGCGCCCTGCCCTCCCTCAGTGGCCGCGTCCCCCATCTCGGTCCCTTCGCTCTGCCCTCTGCTCCCTTGGCTTTGCCTTGGGCATGGGCTGTGGGCCCAGGGCTGCGTGGCCCGAGCTGCCACCAGGCCTGCTCTAATGAGCATCTGCTCTGCTCGGGCCTGGGGGCTCGGCTGCGTGGGGTGGGGCTCTGGCGGAGGTGGTGTGGGAACGAACTGCGGGCGTGTCGCTCCCTGGGGCCTGTGCCTCAGTGATGCCCTGCCCCGGGTGCCACTTGGGCCTCTCGCCTGGCTCCGTGGCTCAGATCCTGGCTCAGTCACTTCCTACCTTCACGGCCTGGGGCAAGTGAACCTGTCTGCCTCAGTTTCTCCCTCTCTGGGGTGTGGGTGGTCATGGCATCAGTCTCCAGGAGCAGCCTGGGCCAATGTGATGGGTCAGTCCACGCGAGGCCTCTGCTTAGCGCTCCGCGAGCATTGCTGGCTCCGTCTGCTTCCCGGCACCGCCAGCCCCGGCTGTGCGCCTCCCAGCGTTCCCAGGCCTGCAGGCTGTCCCAGGACGCCGTCCCTCGTGTCTCCAAGGACTCGGCAGCTGACTGCACTCACCTGAGCTGCACACACACAGCGTCCGCCCAGGGCCAGGGATGGGTCCTGGCAAATAAGAAACGAGAGCCGTCTCCCCCGAGGCGTGGCCACCACATGAGCACCAGCGCAGTGAGGCTATGGCGTCCAGCCCGGAGCTCCCAACACCCAAGCTGCTCTCCCCTCACCTCCCCACCCCCGTTCCTCGCCAGGAGGGTCTGGGAGCAGCGGTCACATGGAAAGCGCAGGGTGGGAAACAGATGCACCCAGTTCTTGTTGTTGTGCGTGTGTCTTTCCAAGGCCCCTTGTACGTGTGGCTGTCAAAATTCTTTTGCACCCAAATAAACTTATCTTTCCATTCCATCTCCCATAGACTGTTTTTTTTTAAAGATTTATTTATTTATTTGAAAGTTAGAGTTACACAGAGAGAGGAGAAGGAGAGACAGAGAGAGAACCATCCGATGGTTCACTCCCCAATTGGCCACAATGGCCAGAGCTGCACCAATCCAAAGCCAGGAGCCAGGAGCTTCTTCCGGGTCTCCCATATGGGTGCAGGGGCCCAAGGACTTGGGCCATCTTCTACTGCTTTCCCAGGCCACAGCAGAGAGCTGGATGGGAAGTGGAGCAGCTGGGTCTCGAACCAGTGCCCATATAGGATGCCAGCACTTTAGGCCAGGGCGTTAACCTGCTGCACCACAGCGCTGGCTCCTCCCATAGACTTTTTTTAGCCTCATATTAAACAACTCAGAAGGGCTCTGACCCGAGTGCGGGTTGGCCACAGAGCTGGGGCCCAGGGCACTCGGCGGGCTCAGAGCTGCAGCCTTTGGCCGATGACAAGGGGGCGTTTTGACAGCTGCTCTGCCCAGGGTGGAGCCACACCGGACAGTGGCCTGGGAGAAGTCCCAGCCTGCTCCTCCCACAGCAGTTCTCACCAGTGACCAGATGGTTGTGGTTACAGGTGGGCTGGCTGCAGCCGCAGGCCCCCTGCCCACGAGCGTCAGCACGGGCAGCGAGTGTTCGGCCTCCGAGAACCACGGTGACCTAAACCATGCAATGTGGCAGCATAGCCACGACACTGCCACCAGGACGGCTGGGCGGGCGCCTGGGCTCCTCTGGGGCGGGCCTTGCCCTCACCTGGGCGCTGGGGGCGGGTCTTCGTGCGATGCCCTTGCACATTCCCACAGACCACGCCCACTCGGTCCTGATCTTTTGGCCACGCCCTCTCAGGGCAGGTGCGGCTCCAGCAGCTGGGGACCCTCAGGGAACACCCCGAGCAGCTGGGGAGGGGCGGGAGGGGGCTGGTGACTGGGCCCTCCTTCCTGCTCTCCTCACTGCAGTCGCAGCCACCCAACCCGTCAGGCAAAATGCAGCCCGTCCTGAAGTCAAGGAAACAGGAGGAGGCCCTCCTATCGGCTGACAGAGGACGTGGCCAGGGTGCAGGAACCCGGTCAGGGTAGCAGCTCCCAGCTGGGGCTGTCCCTCGGTGTGACTGGAAGTTTCTGGGGATGCCCAGACCACTTCCTAGACCAATCCCCTAGGGTCCCTGCGGGGGGCAGGACCCAGGTTCCAGCTCCCCATGTGTCCTGAGCTGCTGGGGTGGGACTGGGGTTTAAGGGCGTCCCAGCTGAAAGTGAGCCTCCTTGCAAGGTGAGAGCCGTGAACCAAGTTCTCGGAGTGGGTCGAATGGGACCAGGAAGACTCCACTCGGCAGCGCGGCTGTAGGAGTGAAAGCCTGGCCATGAGCCTGGGGCCGCAGGGCCAGATGAGCCACGGTACACACGAGCCGGCTTGCACCGCCGGGACCTGGTTCCCTCGCCAGCCTGAAGCAGGAGGCCCCCTGGCAGCACGGCCGCTTCCACCACCCAGGCCACAGGAGACCTGGTGGAGAGCAAGTCCCTCCTGAACACTCTAGAAGGGCAGGCAGACACCAGACACAGGAGAAGCGCGCCCTGGGGACGTGCCCGGGCTGTGTCTGAGCGTCAGAATCCTCGTGGGGTGGCTCGGGGTTGAGAAGTGAGCCCCTGCAGGCGCAGCAGCCCCCGGGACCCGGCAGTTGCCCTGCTGCGCCTTGGTAGCCGCAGACCACCGTGGCCTGCACGTTTGGAGCGGGAAATCCCAGGATCACTAGATCGCAGATGTAAACTGCACACGGTCCTGAGGTGTGATGAGGTGCTGTGTGCTCTGCTCCAGTGCCGAAGCGCCCCGGTGCAGTGTGTCCGTGTGGTATGCGCTACCCTCCCGTCGGCCAGCCGCTGGCCGCCTGGTGTCACGGGGACTGCCCCACAGTCATCGTAGAGCTCGCGTCCAGGAAGCCGTTACTGTACTCAATAACGACTATTTCAGTCCATTGTTACAAATGTTCTGTGTCATTGATTTGTTGTTGCTCCTGGACACGTAAGAAAACAGGGTGTGACCCATGGAGGCAGACACGCTCTGGGGGTCTCGGGATGCATCTTTTGTGGCTAAGGGGGAGCACGAGACCACCAGGCGGAGGGATCAGCTGAGGGAGACCAGGAAGGGCCTCCTCGGCACTGGACGTTGCATCTGAAGCTAAGACGGGGTGGCAGGACCATGCAAAGAGTGGACCAAGCACTTTTCAGGAAGAGGGAATGGGAGGTGCAAAGGCCCTGGGGCTGGACTAATTCTGGAAAGTTCTAGAAAGAGCAGAAAGGCCCGTGGCTGGAATACAACGGGCGAGGTGGGAGGAGGGCTCGGGGCCATGTGAGCCAGGCTTGGAATCCTCTTCTGTGGGAGAGAGCAGGATGGAGCCCCCCACCCCCAGCTCTCCCCCCACCCTCTCCTTGCACCACACAGAAGCTCCACGCAGCTCCGTGACTCACAGAGGCTCCACAGGCAACGGGAGTTTAACCCAACGAACATTTATTGAGCAACTGCTGATGCTCTGTCCCACCCTGGTGCTGGGATGGACACAGACGCGGCCGGCCCAGCCCTGCCCTGCCTGGGACGAGGTCCCAGTCTGTGATCATCACGGGCCGAGTGCACAGAACCTATCACACGGGGCAGAATGTGGCAAGGGCCGAGGGCGGGTGTGGACAGAGTCCACAGCGTTCGGTGGAGGGAGAGACCCCAGCGGCCGGCGGTGGGGGAGGGCTTCATGGAGGAGGTGGTGTGAGTGGCCTAGGGCGCAAGAAGAACAGGAGCAAAGGCACGGGCTCAGGGAACGCAGGCGCCCCCCCCCCCCCAGGCTCGGTGATGCTTCTCGGCCAGCTGGAATGGGGTGTGGGGCCAGAGGGGACCGGGCCTTCCCAGGTGGTCTGTGACGCACGAGCCTGGGCACTGGCAGGCATTCGTGACATGTGTGGGGTGGACTGGGTGGTGTGCACACGCAGGGGGCAGCCCCACGGGAGCCCTCGGCCATGTGTCGGCCACATGGCCAGCAACGAGGTGCGCCCAGTGCTCCGGGATGAAGGGAGTGCGTGGGAGGAGAGATGACTCCAGGATCTCAGACTCGGGGCTGGGGCGTCGAGGTTCCCCAACAGAAAAATGTAGACGGCAAGGCAGGGCCCAGAGGGGCCCAGAGGGGACTCACTGGCCTCAGCAGGGTTGCGTTTCTGGTGCTGCTGCAGGGGCCAGCAGGGTGAGTGTCCAGCAGACCGGGGGCCACAGGCCTGGGGCTGGGGAGCAGGGCCGGCTGTGGGATGAGCAGAGGGTGCTGGGGAGGGAGGGTCTACACCGTGGGCCAGTATACACCATGGGGGGAGCTGGGGAGGGAGCATCTACATTGTGGGAGGTGCTGGGGAGGGAGGGTCTACACCATGGGAGCTGGGGTAGGAGTGTCTACACTGTGGAAGGTGCTGGGGAGGGAGTGTCTACACCGTGGGCCAGTCTACACTGTGGGAGGTTCTGGGGTGGGAGTGTCTATGCTGTGGGCCAGGGAGGTGGAGGAAGGGTCAGATCTACCTGGACTTCCGTCTGGATCGGGCAGAGGTATCAATAAATAATCCATAAATACATAAATAAGGACATAAATTAGCAGTCAGGGGAAGGCAAGGACGGGGGATGCGGTGTCCCGGGTGCCGGGGCGTGACGGGAGGGGTCCCTGCAGAGCTGGGTCCCTGCTCTGCGGTGAGGAGCTGTGGGCGGGGGCCCTGGGGGACATTGCTGGACAGAGGGGCTGGGGAGAGGAAGGGGAGGGACGGAGCCCGGAGCCCAGAGCCCGAGGAGAGATCTCTGCAGATGGCGCCATCTCTTCCGTGCTGGGCCGGGCCCGCAGAGGCCTGAGGGCTGCAAGGGCTGCCGGCTGCCCCGGGGCCACTGGGTCAGGATGAGGTCGCGGGTCAGGGCGTCGGGGTGCAGTACCCAAGACCGGCCCAGCTGTGCCAGCGCTGCAGGGGAAGCTGCCCCGACAGCCCCGAGCAGCTGGGCAGGGAGTCGGCCTGGAACGCCCGCCAGTGCTCGGCCCAGGCGCTCTGGCAGCACAGGACCTGCTGAACCCGGGACCGGCACACGTGTGGGAGGGTGGGCCTGGGGGCTCCAGCCCACCCTCAGAGAGAACCTGGAGGTGGGGGCAGCCTGTGTGAGACGAAGCCGTGTCCCCCAAGGAGCCCTGGTCCCTGCAGGGAGGGCTGCTGGCTGCGGGACAGAGCTCCAGGCCAGTGTCTGGGCTCCCCACAGGACTCACCATGGAACGTTCTGGAATCCGGGCATTGACCCATCCACGGTGGCCCTGCACCGGGTCCCCAGGGCTCTGCAAGCTTCAGGAGGTAGAGTCTTCTAAGGCCGCTGGGGTCCTCCTGGGGCGAGCTCGGGAGCGTGTAAAATGCGATGTCCAGTGCCAGGCTGGAGGCCCTGCCCCCACGCCCGTGCTGGCCGCTGCTCTCTAAATGAAGCCACACAGGGAGGAGCCAGCAGGTGCTGCGGGGTGTCTGGGCGCCACCTTGGTTTGGTTGGAGCATCCGCGTGTGCACTCGTGGTCACCGATCTCCTGCTGCTCGCCAGCCGCTGGCGTGGAGTGGACGCTGCATTCGGGACGGCGCTGACCCACGTGTCGGGTCTCCTGCGCTCAGGAGGTCTCCGCCTCTCTTCTTACCTCCGGCCACCTCTAAGGTGATGGTTTTTTCACTTGTCCTTCAAGCACGTCAGCACACCCAGGCAAGGGCACGACTGGCCAGCCCCGCCCACTGCCGCCTGTCCAGGGGGACCTGGGCCGTGCGTCCCTGCGCTCAGCCCATCTCCACGGGAGACTATGTACAGTGTTTGCAGCTGCACCTGGTTTCAGGTCTTCATTTTAAAAAAAACTATCAAAGAGGGATCTCAGTGGGGGGAATGGGTTTTGCACAGTCCCAGTACCTCTGCCTGGGTGGGGAGGGGGCGCCCACCCGATGCCCTCTTCCAGGCAGGAGCTTGGGGCGGGTGGGAAAGTGACAAGAAGGTGACAGTGACACAGAAGTCTGGCTGCAGGGCTCGCACAGCACAGAGCTGGGCAGAGAGCGGGCGCGGCTCGGGGCCTCGACCACACGCTCGGAGCTCTGCGAGGCGCCCGAAGGCGACTGTGTGCATCTCAGAAAGGATGAGGTTTCTCCCGACAGGCCCCTTCCAGCTAAAGCTGCGGCTTCTCCAGGGACCAGGGGACAGAAGAGCCCCTCCTGGGCGTCCAGGCTGAGCTGGGGGCAGGGCCCCCTCTGCCTTGTTGGTGCACAGCAGGTGCTTTGAAGATTGCCCGACAGAACCCCACATCTGGGACGCCCGTCTGCCTCCCCTGGGGGAAGCCGGCCAAGCAGGTCTCGACTGTCCGATCTGGAACCCTCCCCGCCCTCGGCATCACCCGCCTGCTGCACCCGAGGTGCAGCCTTGCTTAGCCAGGAGGTCGCCGTCTACCACATCTCCCCCAGCCTCCTCTCCACGCGGTGGAGGACGCCGAGGTCGCCAAGGTCACCGAGGTCCAGCCCTCGTGCCGCCAAGCTGCCGAGGTCACGCACCGAGGCCCCCAGCCCTGCTGGGGCCGTGCTCCGGGCTTCCGTGTGCTCCACCGCTGCCCAGTCCTCCCGCTCCTCCTCCACCTCCTCCCTGAGCAGCGGCACTTCAGACGGGGGCGGGGCGCAGCAGTCTCGGCCACCCAAGTCCCTGCCCCGGGGTTCAGGGCCGCCAGCAGGTGGCTCCCCGTTCCCCCAGAGCTCAAGGTCCTTCCAACGCAGGAGACCTGGCGTGGTGACGCCGAGGCGTGGCACGGGCTCCTCGGGCGGTCAGGTCCTTCTGCCCCGCACGTGGGCCGAGCCTCACCTGGCTGGGGAGTGCTCCCCACGCTGCTTCCTGCATCTGCCTACGCTAGGTGAACACTGCACAGTTAGAGATACTCGGGTCAGTATATATACGCAGGTCGAGCTATACATATTCTGGTCACTGTTCCACATTTCACAAAGAAACCCACTAGCCTGCCTGTTCTATTGTTTGTGCCACCCCGACGCCCGTCCGCCCGCGGTGTCGCCGGCAGGAAGTGTGAGCACTGAGCCCCGTGGGCGCCCGCCTTACGTGGCCCCCCCGCACTGGCCCACGGTCAGTTTCAGCGCTCCCTGCTCGTGCAGGCTCTTGAGGGCCTTGAACTCTAGGGGCATGGTGTGGGGGCTGGTCTGGGAGGTGTAGCCGTATTTGAGGCTGTCGTAGTAGTGATACTTGACGGGGTTCTGGTTCTGGTCCAGCGGGAAGGGCCAGAAGCCGTACAGGTAGATCTGGCTGCAGAAGCGCGTGGCCAGGGTGTACATCAGGAGGCCAGTGGTGGGCCTTTTGATGTGGACTTTGTTGGTCAGCCAGTATCTGGAAGAAACACCCAAAGGAAAACGGGTAAGTGTGCAGCATCCTTCCGAGGGAGGGGCCGCTTCCCCCGTCCGCCCCGCGGCTCCCTCCTGCCACTCAATGACAACAGGAGCCGTGGACCCTGGCTCCCCACTTGGAGGACGACCCTCTGCTGCTGATCCGTGGCCTGGGGGCTCTGGTCGTCAGAGCAGGCTCATCTGGGGTACGGCTACAGAAACAGGGCTCAGAGATGCAGCGTGGCCCAAGGCCGCCCAGGTGGAAAGGGGAGGGCCAGCCCCTCGGTCGGAACCCAGGCTAACAGAGATGTCAGCCGGCTCTCTGTCAAGGGACACGTAAATATATTTCCCTTTTCAGCCACAGGGTTCCAATGGCAACGACACATGTGGGCGTGGCCGGGCCCAGTCCCACCTCTGAGACAGCACTGGCTTGTGCCCAGTGGCCGCCCCACATGCACAGTGTGCATGGCCACTTTGCCTTCCTCACCCCTGAGCACTCTGGACACGGCTCCTCTCTGCCCCTGTCCGCCGGAGCCCACCCCCGAGATAGGTGCCATCTCGGACCTCGCGAGACCCCTGGAGTGGCCAGCCCCGGGAGCCTGCATTCTGTGCTTTCTTTGCCGGCCGCTGCACCCGTGTCCACACCTCTCCTAGAGGCCCCTGTCCTACCTCTGGGACTCTGTCAGTCAGGGAACATGGAGAAGTGGGGAGCACAGGTGTCCGGCCATGGTGCCTCGTACCCGAAAGGCCTTGTGCAGCAGGAAGTGACCACGTCCACGCGTGGACCCACAGGCAGAGGCCAACAGCTTGGACACTTCCGTCCCAGCCATTGCCAGCCGTCCGCGTGCCCTACAGAAGTCACTCTCCCTGTGGGACTCAATTCTTCACGCTGTGCAGTGACCAGTAGTCTCCAAGATGTCCCACACAGTCCATTCCAAGGCAATCTGGCAGTTTCTCCAGAAGTGGGAATGCCTCCATGCCGCCCTCTGCCTGTCCTCCGAGCTTCTAGTATGATCCTCCACCCACCCAGGCTGCGTGCCTGCAAGACTAGTGCCATGCCTGGGTGAAGAGGCCACCCCTCACCACTAATTCCTGACCGCTGTCTCCAGGCCAGACTCTGGCCAGGGACTCTTGACCCATAGCCTCTGGGAAAAAGCACACCCTCCCCACTGGAGCCAAGGCCAGCACGCTTCCTGGTGACCCCCTGCAAAGCCACGTGTGACTTTGTAACCAAGCACCTGCTGACTGCATTGCGCCAGCAGTGTTGCTGAGAGAGGCAGTGACTTAGTGACTTCGAGTTGGGTGCGAAGGGTGGGGAGGGGCTCCCTTCCTTTGCTGAACAGGTCCCCGTGCAGCCTGCACCGGCGCAGTCGACCTCAGGCCCCTGATTTTGTTTGTGGGAAGAGTTAACCTCTCCCACGTGGCAGGAGGAGTGTGGTCAAGTCGCTGCGGGCCAGCGTCGTGCCATCAGCTGATGTCTGTGCCAGGAGTGCTTGGTGTTGCAACGGTTGGGGCCCCTGGATAAGGAGCCTTCGGGTGGCCACACAGCACTTACTCGGCCCTGTGGAGCTGACCAAGCTTGGGAGGACCCGGGGGCAGCAGCCAGCCGCAGAGAGAGGCAAGGATCCCAGAGGCAGCCGGCTGACAGCCCTGGCCGGGTGGGTGGGGGAGCTCCCTGGGGAGCCTCTACCTCTCCCCGCCCCCAGCCAGTCCTCTGCATTTCAGCCCTGATGCAGAGGCTCCCAGCATGCACAGCTGCTGGCACAAACTGCCCAGGGCTGTAAGAGAGGCCTGGGGCCGCCACACACCAGGGCGTCCCCCCAGCAACACCACTGTGCAGCCAGGGCTAAGAACGCCGGCCCCAACCAGCAGTGTTCTGCCAAGGAACCCCGGAATGGGACCATTTAGAGAGAACGACGGGGCTCAAGTTGGCGCACGAGCACTCGCGGGGAAGGGGCTGGTCACTCACCTCGCCCAGCGGCCTGACGGGGGCTCTGCCCTAGAGAGTCGGGACTGGGATGTGGGTGGGAAAACCAATGCCGATCACCGTTGCCGAGGCAACATGGAGTGGCGGGGCCTGGGGTGTCTCAAGGGAGAGCCAGTTTTGGGGTGGTGATTTTTTTTCCCAAGAGTATTAGAAATCTGGATTTTCATGTGAATTCTCCAGAATTTTAAAGGTCAGGGATTTTTTTCCCAAGAGTATTAGAAATCTGGATTTTCATGCGAATTCTCCAGAATTTTAAAGGTCAGGGATTAAGATTCCACGCTAGGCCTTAAACAGCAGCGATTCAAACAGATCCCTTCCGAGTCTTCTGCGAGTCTAGGGACTGACTCCTTGCTTCCCACATCCTAGCCACGTGTGTGCACGACGGGCACCGCGCACACCTCTCCCCGGCGAGGTGAGGCGTGAAGACCTGGCGCCCAGGCTGACGGCTCCTGGAGGCTTCGCTGAGGCTGCTGCGGCCTCTGGCAAAGGCGCTCAGGGTGCCGGGCCAGCAGCAGCCGTAAGGGGGAGAGCAGGGAGAGAGGTCGCTGCCCACACGTGGGCATCAGCTCTGGCCCGGCAAGGCCGTTTCTGGGGGCCTCGCCTGCTGGCCTTCAGGGGCCGCGACGCACGGAGCACACGCGGCGGCTGTCGGGGGGACGAGGCCCGGCTCCCAGCGTCCGGCTGGGCACCTGCAGGGTGGGCTCCGTCTGAAAGGCAGCCAGTTGCAGACCGCCTCCCTGGAGGACCAGGGGCGTGGGCTGCACTGGTGTTTCGCTTCAAATGCTTTCCTACATCTGGGATTTTCTTTTATGCTACGTGCACTGCTATTTTGAAACAGCATTATTCCATCACAAACACCTGTGCCTTAAACCACAGACTCCTGTTTCCTCTGCTCACCTCCCAACCTGGCCCCAGCTGGGGGGGCACTGGCCCAGCGATGTGCTCTGTGGGTGCTGGTGGGTGTCTGGTGGTTGTCCCTAGCCCGAGTGGGTCTCCCCTTTATCCGCTGTACCCTGGGCCTGCCCTGCTGACCCGGCCAGAGGCAGCCGAATCAGCTGCCAGCTCAGCACCCCTGGGGCCTAACTGGGCACACAGGCCTTGTCTGCATGGGGCCAGGTGCCAGCTGTGTGGTCGCAGCCTCCCCTGCGGTGACCGAGTGAGAGTCATTTTCCACCCGCTGTGCTGTCTCCCTCCTTGCGCGTCCAGGCCTGCTGCCCGCCCGTCTGTGGCTCACCTCCCGGCCAGCGGTCAGCCAAGGCCTGGGCCACTCTGCAGGCCAGAGACCCCGCCCCTGCAAGAGGGGCCTGGCCCTGAGGCCAAGGCCGCTGGTTCTGCATCTCGCTCCCCTCCGCGTGCGGCCTGGGGGCAGCTGCCTCTGGGAGGTGGCAGGGGTGTGGGCATCTGAGATTCTCCTGCGCTCACGTGTTGAATGGAGAAAGCTCACACCCAGCCAGCTGCTATGGCTGAATTCTGTCCCCCAACTCATAAGTGGAAGATCGGAGCCCCCACGACCTCGGCACGCGGCCTTGTTTGGGGGTGCAGTTGCCGCAGAGCTGGCCAAGGTAATGGCAGGTCAGCAGAGTGGGCCGTCTTCCAGCTCGGCCACTGTCACCCTACACAGGCGTGTTGGTCGCAGCTCCCCCTCCCTGCCCACGCGGCCTCGCACGCGCTAGTCCACGTTCCCCAGCCTCCTTTCCTGATGTCGTGCGCGGCTGTTCGGAGAAGAAAGCCAGCACCTGAGTGGTCACGAGAAAAGTTCGTCCGAGTGGCTGACGCATGTCCGGACACGAGACGGGGCCCGGCCCCTGCCCCTCGCAGGGGACCAGACAGGGCCCCGTGTCCCCAGCGAGCACTTGCTGCTTCTCCCGCCTACGCTCCAACTTCCACTGGAATGACCAACCCTGGCCGGGGCTCACGGCGAGCTCCCCGGGGTCCACCGTGGTCCCACATTTGGGAAATCGGGGCAAAGGTTGCTCTCCAGTTCCACATGGTTTGGGAAAGGTCACGGCCAGTGGCTCCCCCAGGGCCCACGCGGCTGTTTCTTTACTAGGAGCTGCGTGCTGGGCGTGCGAACGCATCCAGCTCCGGGCCCTGGCTGAGATCCGTGGTTTAGAGCAGCGCACCGGGTCCTACGTCAGACACCAGAGGCTCACGACCCCGTCCAGGCGAAAGACGCACCTGCTACCCTGAGAAAGGTGGGCTCGAGGAGCGGCTTCCGCTTCTGTCGCCCGGAGCCTCGCCGCCGTCTGCCCTGAGACCTCTTCGTTTTCCTTAATAGTTTCGTGAGCTCAGATCCAGCCTGGCTTTGTCTTGGCTGACATCATCTGCTAGGGCCTCGTCGCTGCGTCCCGGGTGTGTGCCACAGAGGCAACGGGTGGTGCCCTGGACCTGCCTCCCCATCCACAGGCCCCTGTGCATGCCACTCCCCGGGGCTCAGTTTGCCCCTCGGTAGAATGGGGCTAACATGGTAGAGCTGCATGACAGGAGAGGCTGCTGGGCGCCTGCCTGGCTCGCCCGCGAGGCCCAAGTGGCAGGTGTCCCTGGCCTGTTTCGGGCAGCAGTGTTCAGGAAGTGGCAGCTCAGCGGCCCTCCGGGGACGTCTGCTTTTGTTCTCAAAGATGTCCTGGTTGTGAAGGGGCAGCCACGTGAATCTGGGGGGGCAAAGCCAAAGTCACAGCCCGGGAGCACATGGCACCGAGAGCCTGCCTGGGGTTTCGCTGGATGGTGCTGTGCCCCAGGGGCTGTGGGTGTTTAGGGGGACCCCGAGCTGCTCGGTGGGAAAGCTGCCCTGGGCTCTGTGCAGTCATCCATCTCGCCTGCTACCTGCCGTGGGCCCCTCCCCTTCTCCCAGCCCTGACCGTCCAGGGCGGGGTGGGCACAGACCTCCCCTACCGGTGCACAGTGTTAGGTCTCGTGGTCCTGCTCATGCCCCTCACTGCCTTCGTGAGGACAGGATGGGACTTGGCCCGTGGACGAAGAGGCAGAGGGGAGGCGGTCGTAGCCCTGTTGGAGCTGGGCCCCTACAGCCGTCGGAGTGGTGGGCCCAGTGTGGCCCAGTGTGGCTCAGTGCGGCCCAGCGTGGCCTAACTTTGTGCATGGCCTAACTGGGCACCAGGCTCCTCATTCGCATAGGAGGTCGCTCAGGTGCCAGCAGGCTGGAGCTCCGTGAACGGCCCCCAGCAGTGCCCCGGCCCCCGCAGCCTCACCCGCACCTGCTACTGTCCCTTTGTCCTCTCCCAGCTGTGCCGCTGGCTGCGCAGCCTGTCTCCTCTCCTGCTCGTCCCGCTCCTTGGCTGTGCGTGTGTCTCGGTTGGGGGAGCGTCTATTCTAGTCCTTGGCTCACGTTTTATTTGTTTATGTGAAAGAGCAACAGAGAGAGGGAGAAAGCTCTCTTTAGAGCTTCTAGCCCCTGGCTCGCTCCCCAGCTGGCTGCAATAACCAGGGCTGGCCAGGCTGATGTCAGGGACCAGGAACTCCATCCCGGTCTCCTGCAGGGAGGGGCGGGGACACAAGCCCTCGGGCCATCTGCTGCTGCTCTCCCAGGCACATTGGCCGGGAGCTGGATCGGCAGTGGAGCGGCCCGGACTCAACCTGCACTCATGTGGAAAGCCAGCGTCGGCAGCGGCAGCTCGACCCCTGCACCGCGTCGCCAGCCCCTCTGATTTTCTTCGGTTGCCTGTGCTTTGGGTGTCACACATGGGACCATCGCCAAATGAAAACAGGAAGAGTTTGCTGTTTTCTTCTAAGAGTGAACTCCTTCTGGGTGAAATGTGTACGTACAAATGTTGAATTTGACATCGGTTTTGTTATCATGAAAAGTAAGTTCCCCTCCCTACACCCCATAACTGGGACGGGGCTCGGTGAGAACAGATTTTACACTGGGCCACACTAGGCTGCACTGGGCCGCACTGGGCCCACCGCTCTGACGGCTGCAGGGGTCCAGCTCCAACAGGGCTACGACCGCCTCCCCTCTGCCTCTTCGTCCACGGGCCAAGTCCTATCCTGTCCTCACCAGGCAGTGCGCCAGGTGGTGTGGCAGCTGCCATGGCCACAGCAGGCACAGCTGAGCGACGCCTCCCTGGTTCTGAGGCGGGCAGGGCCCCGCGAGGCAGCGGAGAGGGCCGGGGCAGGGGTGGAGGATGACGATGTAACCAAGCCGCTGAGGAGCTGGGACTGGAGCCCTTGGGGGTCCCTTCCTGCAGAGCGCCCTGACGCAGGCACAGGCACACTGCCTCTCCCAGGTGCCTCCTCCGCCTCCTCTGAGCGTCCCTCTGCACCGTGCGCTGGCCTGTTCCTGCACTCCAGTGAGGCCCGGGAGGCATCCGAGACAGCAGGGAGCCCTGCTCACGGCGCACACGGCTTGGCATGGAGGCCCTGTCGGACACGCAGTCTGCAAGGGTCCAGCAGCCCCGCGGAGCGAGCGGACGCCGACAGGCCCCCACTCCCAGGCCCTGGCGCCTCTGCTCCCCGCCCCTCTGTCGCCGAGCGCAGAGCCAGAGCCAGCCCCAGCCACCCAGGCTGCAGCCTCCCGGGAACTCTTGCAGAGCGCGCCGATGCCGGCTCAGGATTAACAGCCTGTTTGTTTAAAGGGCTTATTACTGGCGCTTAATGCTATTTTGACAGATGAGAGGGAGTCAATTAGAGATGGAAATAGCTCCGGCTGCTTCGGCCCTGCCAGGTGCCTGCCGTCCCCGTCCCCGTCCACGTCCTCTCCTCGCCAAAGGGCAGCCCCTCCCTCCGATCCCCGCAGACCCCCAAGCCGCCGCGGGAATTCCCTCCTTCCAGGAAGAAACGGCGTTCAGGGCTGGGGGCCTGTGTCCCTGAGATGAGGGTGGCACAGCCGATGGGCTCTGTGACGGGGGAGGGGAGGGCAGGGCTGTCCTCCTGGACCGGGGATTGGTCCCAGCCCACCCTGTGCCCACATGAGCCTCCCTCCGGCCGCACCTGGGTCTTCCTACGGGGCAGGGGTACCTTGGGGAACAGCGCTTCGGGGAGCAGAGATCCAGGCCTAACCAGGAGAACCTCGCTGACCGGTTATGTGGATCATGCTCCAGCTGTCCTCAGACAGGGGATCCCAGCCCTTGCCAGCTCTCCCATGGGGTGGGGGTGGGCAGCAGCATTCCCACGGGACCCCGGGCAGACGGCCAAGCCCCACCAGCAGGGTGCGCTCTGCGGCTGGGGAAGCAGAGACGGCGACACTGTGGTCCCTGCCGACTTCCGCTCCTCTCCAGGTGTTTGCCACGTCTGGCCTTGCCTGGCTGTCACCTCCCTCCCTGTGGTACCGACACGGGGGCCGGAGTTCAGAGAGATGTAGGGGACGCGTGTGAAGCCTGCGCATCTGTCTTTATCGTTTTGGAACCCGCTCACCTGGGCTGGCGGAGGCGGAGGCGGCCGGGCCTGCCGCCATCTCCCCGCTCCCACGGCCCGGGCCGCCATGTGGCCTCAGCAGCACTCTCAACACGACCCTTTAGGAAGGCGCCGGCCGGCCAGAATCGGCATCCGGGATGAAACCCACCTGCCGGCCCCCCTGGCTTCCCCGGGAGTGGCGTCCTGGCCAGTGGGGGCAGAGGTGGGATGGACCGCGCCCCCGGCTCCCACCCCGAGGGGCGCTCACCCGCGGACGGCGTGCAGCAGGCGCAGCGAGGGGTAGGCGGTGCGCACGCTGACGTGGTGCTTCAGGATGAGCGCGTTGACCCACTCCACGCGCTCCTTGCCGCCCCTGGCCATGAAGGCGGGGATCCACAGGATGCTGCCGTTGAGGCTGCGCAGGCGCTGCAGCAGCTTCTCCCGCCACGTGGCGTTCACCAGGTCCTCGAAGGCCCGCTGGATGACCGACGGGTTCATGGTCACCAGGTCCGTCTTGAGCCCCACGTCCTGGGCGTACTCCTGCACGGGGGCCAGGTTGCACCTGCCACGGACAATGCACCATGACCCTCTGGGGAACGAGGACTCCTTCCCCTGAACTCCGCCTTGCCCCACAAAACCCAGGCCCCCCCGCCCTGCTTCTCCCAACACAGACTCTCCCGGGCCCCAGCACACAGAGCGTCCCGGAGCCCTGGGTCTGTGTGGCGCCTGCCTGTGGGAGCTGGGATCCAGGAGCGGTGGGGATGAGGGAGCGAGCAGCCCGCAGCCCGAGATGGAGAGGATGCGGGCAGGTGGGCCTGGCCGTCCAGTGAGCACAGGGCCCCGTGGGCCGATGCCAGCGTCCCAGCTCGGTGCTCACACCTCCCCTGGGGACCGTGGCCGACCTGCTCACCCCCACGCTCCCGAGACCGTCCCCTCTGCTAGCTACGATGGAGAAGTAGCAGCGTCTGGCAGAGACTTAGCACTCGGCTGGGGCCCGAGAGCTCGCGGTGTGGTCTCCTGTCTCAGCATGGGAGGACTGGGCGCTTTCCCCGCCGTGCAGGCCCCTGGAGAGGCGAGCAGGGCAAGGTTCCAAAGGGACTCGGTGCTGAGGGCGACAGGGAGCCACCGAGGGTTCTAGAGCAGGAGAGCGGTGTGGGCAGATCTGCGCTGCAGGCGGCAGGGGTGTCAGGGCCGCCGGTAACTGGAACTCAAATGGCCCAGGCAACTGAGAAATGAGAGCGACTCCCCATCACTCCCTCAGCTCCCAGGTTCCGACCGGCCCAGGGCCCTGGCCAGCGGGGAGGCCTGCTGACCGGTTTTGGGAGGCCAGTGGAGCTTATCTGTAAGGGCCGTGGGCTCCGCCAGCCACAGCGCCCTGGGCTCTACGTCTCCAACTCTGCCCGGTTCCCCGGGGCCCCACCTCTGCTCTGGCTCGGCCCCTCCCCTCGGCTGCACCAGGGGCCGCGAGCTCCCCCGGGAGGCAGGTGCACCCACCTGATGACAAAGCTGTGCGTGTCGATCTCGGGGCCGCAGCCACTGTTGAGCAGGACGCCCGAGTTGCCCACGATGGCGCAGGTGCGGAAGCGCTGGCTCTTGAGCGGCGAGGTGCGCGGCAGCAGCTCGTAGAGGTTGTGGGACACGTTCATGGTGCTGTCGCGGTCGAAGATGTAGTGGATGACGTCTCCGGGCTTCAGGCTCCCCTTCAGCACCGAGATGTCCTTCTCGGCGTCCAGAAACTTGAGGATCTGCTTCCTGGGGAGCCAGGGGACGCGTGAGCAAAGTCCCCCGTGGGACCCCGCTTCTCCCGTCCTCCCTCCCCCACCCCTCCACCAGGGCCGTCAGCCCGGCCAGCAGGTGCCGAGACACGCCTTCCAGGCAGGCATGGCCAAAAATGGCCGAGGCGTGACCCGGGGGGCAGTAGGGGGTGGCTGCGCTGTGCCCTCTTCCCATGAAAGGTGACAGCTGCCCTGGGACGTAGCGCCTTAGGGCTGGAGGCTGCCCTTTGCAGAAGACGCTAGAGAGAACGGAGAGGGGCCGCCCGGAGGGTCCCGGGACTCTGCGAGGGCTGGTCTCCCTTCGTGCATTCTGGGAATGAGAGAATGCAGGACCACTGCCCCATCCCGCAGGTGGTAACACAGAGGCCTGAAGGCCTGCAGGTTCGGGAGCCTCACAGCCCTGGAATATCCCAGGGCGGCCCCGTCACCTGCTGTGGAGCAGGAAGCAGCCACAGCTCCCCCCCGAGGCCAGCTGACTCCAGCGTGGGTCCCCGGACCCTCACAGCCCCCTCCCCCCGGTCTCCTTGGTAACAGCTGGCATTGCTCTCTGAGCAGGGAGAGCATCCTGCCGAATGGTTCGGATCTCGCGGTGAAAACAGAGAGCAGATTTCATTCACGAAGGATCAGGTAACGTGCCTCACATCCGGGCTGGAGACTGAGAGCCCTGCAGCTGCTTCCCCCACAGCAGCTCCATGCAGAATGAGCCCCCCACGCCCAGACATAAACACCTCCGCGAGCGAATGAATTTCTAGTGAATTATTGAGGCCCTGCTGTCAATTATTCAACAGCATTCCAGATGACTCGCAGAACCTTCTGAATAATTCTGGGGACGAGATGACTGGGGCGGAGGGGAGCGCTGCTCCCCCAGAGGCGGCCGTGTGTGCACCGGGTCCCCGTAAGGCCGGGGCCTGGGTCCCTTGGCAATGGCAGGAGAAGGGGCCAGTGGGGGCTGTGGTGGGCGGTTCCAGGCACAGGGGCTGTGCAGGGTGAATGGTGCCCCCCCCATGTGTGTCTGTCTCCCAGCTCCCAGCTCCTGGACCCCAGGGGGGTCATCCCAGCTGGAAACAGCATTGTGCAGGTTAAATCAGGGGCCTCGTGCTGAGATCATCCCGGGCACCTGGCATGGGCACTGAATCCAGTGACAGGAGAGCAGGAGGAGCTGGTCGGTGACAGAGGCAGGGGCTGGGGTGATGCAGCCACAGGAGGCCTGGAGCCATCAGTAGACATAAGACACCGGCCTTCCTGTGTGGGGGGAGGGGGGCCGGCGGTTCCAAGCCCCAGCTGGTAGCGATTTGTCCCTGCACCCCTGGGGACCCCTGCGGGGCATTTCATGGCCCTGTGGCTGTGCCACTCTCCTCCCACCCCCTCAAAGGACAGGGCAGAGGCCCACCCCGGAGGCAGTAAGGGGTTCTCCTGGAAGCTTTCTCGGCTGCCCGGTCCCCAGATCCACAGCTCCCCCGGGAACCTGGGCTGGGCTCTTCCACAGGGCAGACTCTGCTTGGGGACTGTGACCCCTTCCCCACGCTGACGACCTGGGACAGTCACCAAGTCTGGACCCTTGGGCCCTGGCCACTCCGATCCTCCAACTCCAACACCAGACTTCTCACCACCTGTGGGACGTAGTGTGGTATGTCTGATGAACTCTTAGCCACTCTGCAAAACCCACTGCCCTTGGCCACCTCCTCCTGGTTGCTCAGGTCCCTCACAAAGGAACGGCTCTCCTCAGCGCAGCTCTTGTGGCCCCCTGCTTGCATGAGGCCCCGCCCCTCCTGCCCCTGCTTGTGTTTGTATCAGCCCCACGTGTGGGGGTTCAGCCAGCACCCCGGGCCCCCAGCACGAGCCTGGCACAGACCCAGCAGTATCTGCTGATGTGTCACAGCTAAGTGCCCCGAATGCTGGAGCCGGGGCTGCTCGCCCTGCCTGCCCGAGTGTGCAGGCCTCACTGGCCAGGGCAGGACCAAGCTGCTGTCTGGCAACACAGGGCTTCCTCTGACCCAGGGGCCGGCTCCAGGCTCTCACTGCCCCATGAGAGACCCTCCTGTGTGTGTCGCGGGAAGGGGGCACGGGCACGCCGGAGGACTGTCGCAGGGAGGGGGCGCCCAAGGAAGAAGCGATGCCTGCCTGTGGCCTCTGCCGCCGTCCTGAGTGTCCCTCCCGAGCCCGGACCCCACCCCGCGTGGCGGCAGGTGCGCAGGGCTGCTGGGCTCGCCGTGGGTGTTCACTGCTAACTGGTGGCTCGCGAGTGGCCCTGCCTCCAGGGGGGCAGACGTGGTGATGGAGGGGGCCAGCGCCCGTACCTGATCCGCAGAGACAGCGTCTGGTTGTGTCTCCACTTGGACGCAGCGGGCCGGACGCTGTGCTTCAAGCTCGCGTTGCTCCTGTCAGTGACAGCTGGCGACGAGGAGCCGTTGAGTCCGACTTCAGCCCTGGAAGCAACGAGAGGGGCAGGTACACAGGATCGGCTGCGCTGCCGACAAGCCTAATGGCTTTGTCTTTGCACAGGCTCGCACGTAAACTCGGCACGAGCCCGAATGCAGTTATTACCCGAGACGGAAAGGCGGTATATTTATCCTGCAGGATGCACAGTCTCTCCCCCAGGTATAACCCGCGTCGCGTCGTGCGTGGAGTCAGGCAGGGAACAAGAAACTCTCTCCACCCCCGCCCACCAGCGCTTCCCGCCCCACGTGGAAACGTTTCTCCTTGGAGCCAGCGCTGCGAAGCTCTGCACGGAGCGGTTCCGTTAGCAGCAGAGGCTACGCGCTTCATGGAGGGGGAGGGAGACTACGCGGACAGTGGATCCCAGCCCGCGGCTTCTCCCTCAGCCCTGCCCCCCCCCATCGCTCTCGCTGACACAGGCGACGTCGCTGTGTCCCTCGTCCCCACTAGCGAGGTCCCCGCATTCATTCCCACGTCCCTGGTGGCCCCACAGAGCAGGTGCTCAATGAGTAGGTGTTGAATGTGAATTTAAGGTCCGTCCTGGCACCACCTGGGTGGTGGCTCTGGGGACACCCCAGGGTCAGCAGGCGTCAGGGGACTCCCCCCGGAAGCCGAGGCTTGCAATCTGTGCCAGCAGGTTTCTAAGGAAGTAGGTTACAGTGATTTCTTCAAAGGCGGCGGGCGAGCCGGGCTGCCTTGCGCTGGCTGCTCACAGGCGCACGTGGGTCACTTCCAGGTTCCTTTTGTCTGCGCAGACAGCAGCCTCTCCCAGGGAGAATGACAAGCAGCTTTGTGATGCCGGCTTCTGGAGCTTTGAAGAGTTCAAGGCAAGCGGCCACGTCCTCGGCGTTTACCATGCAACAGCCGGGTTTAAAACAGATGGAATCCTTCAGAGATCTGAGCCCGGCGCTGCCTTTGGCTTTTTGCAGGTAGATGAGAAATTCATTTAAAGGGGCTGTGTCTCATGCGCTCCCTTCCCAGCCCCCTGCCACGGCCCCCCACGTCCCCGACGCCTCTGGCTGCCACCTCCTGTCCTGGAGTCACAGGTTCTATGTGTCTGTGGCTCTCTGGGGCGTCCGTGCCTGGGCACTGGGCACATGGGTGGCAAACGCTCTCCCGGGGAAGGGGCACCTACAGAGATGCTTCCGTGCAGGCTTGCGAGGTCACCTGCTGAGAACCCCCGAAAGCAGTTCCAGACTTTTCTCAGACCCAGGAGGTGGGGGCTGGCATGGCAAGTGGTAAGATTCCGCTCTGTTCCGAGCAGCACCACGTACGGCACCGTGCGCAGCCAGCTGTGGTCTCGAAGATGTCGCCCCTGGCTCTGCAGCTGTCTGCCCAGGGCACTTGGCAAGGTCTCTCGAGGCCACTGCTTCCTTATTGTGAACTGCAGGGGCTGGGTTAGGTCACCCAGGGCCAGGAGGATTCCTGTGCTCTGCGTGGACCACGAGTGGCCCGTCAGTGAGCCAGCGTGTCCTGTCCCTGCCTCCTGCCCTCGTCTCCCTCACGACCCCGGCCGTGCATGGCTGGCTGAGGTCCTCCATCGTTTGTTGCTGCTAAGGCACCCTGAGTGTCACGTCCTCTCGGGCACCCCTGCCTCCACTGGGCCCACCCTGACACTGCCCCCCGGGCCCTGGCTCTTCCGCTAACCCAGCGAGAAAGCTGAGGCCACGGCGGAAGTGGCTCGCCAACCTCGCGCTGACTCCAGGGCTGCCTGGTCCCCGAAGCCGTGCTCCCCAGCCAGTGAGGCCACACCTGCCTGAGCCAACAGGGGCCTGGGTGGGAGGGCAGGGTCGCTCGGTAAATGGGGGGGTCTCTCGTCCCCAGACTGATCCCAGCAGGATGTTCTGAGGAGGGGCCTTCGCGCCGTGTCACCGAGCACCTGCCTTCATAGCTGCTCTCCCCCGGGCTTACGGGACGAAGGTCTGATCTTCGGGGTCTCAGAAGCCTGAGGCTGGGGGCGAGCCTGGTCCATGGTCCTAGCAAAGCACGTGTGTGCCCTCTGCATCCGCTGTCCCCTGGGAAAGGCTGTCGCAAAGCCTTCTGGTCCAGCGCCGGCAGGTTTCAGAGGGCGAGCGCGCTCACTAATTAGGGCCCACAGCGCTGAGTTGCCTCCTGCGTGTTTTAAGGGGTTCATGAAGTTCCAAATGCTTTGTTCACCTTAGCCTCTTGGACTTACCACCTGCCACAGCGGGGTTATGCCAAAGTCCTGCTCCTGGTGGCCCCCGGGTGGCCCAGCGCGGCCCTCTAGCCCCTCTGCCAGTTCCATCTCCGCGGCCTGCAGACCTAGGGCCGATTCGTGCGATCTTCCGTCGACAGTTCCCCCCAGAAGTGGTTGGGGAAATGCAAAGCCAAAGTGAAACAAAACAGATCTATTTGCTAAGTAAGAAGGGCAGCACCCAGCGAGGAGGGAAGCAGATTAATAGCTGCCTTACAGCAAAAACAAATGAACACAAAATCTCATTTACGAACCGATTAGATTTGCCGTGGAAGCTGCTCACCGCCGATCTGATTGCGCCCCTGCCTCTGGAACTCCTGCAAGACAAAGGAGAAGTGTTATTTATGAGCTCGGCCAGGGCCTCGCCCATCGCAGGGAGACCCCACAGCCTACCTGGGGACCACAGAGGGAGGACAAGCTCTCGGCCCGGAGCTCCGGCACGTGCAACTCCCACGCGGCGCCATCGGCCTCCCGGAGCCTCCCCGCCTCCCCACTGAACACCGCTTCCCACTTGAGACCCTGTCGCACTCCGCGGATCGCACCCCTGGTGGTTAATTTCCCCTGGGGAGCCCCACGGGGTAACATGAGTCAGCACAACTGCACCTGCCCCAGTGTGATCCGGCACCTGCTCCTGCGTGACTCAGCGCCTGCTCTACCATGACTCAGCATCTGCCTTAGCATGAGTCAGCCCCTGCCCCTGGACAGCTCTGTGAAATCCATTCTGCTCGCCTCACGGTTTATCCTGCTTCTCACCACCGCAGGCGGGGGCGGGTGAATACAGGTGCACCTGCTGCCCCGCTCTGAGCTGCGTGTGCATCAAGGATAAAGCCCCGACAGCGTCCCCGCTGGGTCACAGGTGGTGGTCTGGGTGGGCCCTTCATACTTCTCTGGTTTCCAAGGCCGACTCAGGGTTTCAGCCAAGGCGTCCGCACACCCCAAAGAAACGGGAGAAATCACCGGGCAGCTGGGTGTCGGGTGGGGGGGCCCTGTGCTGAAGCGGGGACTCTGGGGAAGCCAAGTCTGCCCAGCCCACTCTGGTTTCAGGTGTGACTCTTTCCATCTCCCTTTTTTTAGGATTAGCAGATTTGTGAATACAAAGCATGTGTGTGTTTGTACACACACATGTTGTTTCCTGATAGGCTACAGCGTGTTCTCAACCCCGCTCGGGAACAGGTGCTGGTCTCCGCTTCCACAGCCGTTGACTGGGCCAGAGGAAGGGCGTCGCCCACCGTCCCTCCCCTGCTGTCCCCCTGGGCCTCACTTCGACCCCCAAGTCTAGTTCAGAATGGCACACAGCACCGAAGCTCTTTCCGTTTCAATTTAACACCCTGTGCTTGTTTGCTCTATGCCTCCCCTCAGTTCCCCGCTCCAGGTCTGGCCAGTCCAGCCCTGAGACCCTGGTGCGCTGGGCTCAGGCCTCAGGGGCTGCTGTGGGTGTGCCTGGCTGTGACTCCAGCCCTCCTGGAGGGCGAGGCGGAGCCGGCAGCCAGCAGTGCAGTCCCAGCCCACGGCAGGGTTGATGTGTGGGGAGGCGCCATGTAGCCCAGCGGTCAGGATATCACATTCCGCCTCTCAGTACGTGGGCTGGAATCCAGGCTCTGGCTCCGGACTCCAGCTTCCTGCCAATGCAGACCTTGGTGATGGGGGGGGGGGGGTTGGCAGTGATGGCTCAAGGACCTGGGTCCCGGCCACCTATGTGGGAGACCTGGATGGAGTTCCTGGCCCCCAGCCTCAGCCCCTCCCAGCTCCGGCAGCTGTGGGCATCTGACAGGAGCTCTCTCTCTGCCTGTCTGCCTGTTTCTCTGTCTCTCAAATAAAATGAAAGCAAAGAGCATTGGTATACGATTAAAAATCACTACCAGGGAGTATTTAGCCGCTGGCTTGGAGTGGGCAGTAGTGGAGGCGAGCGGGGGGTGAGGGTGAGGGTGGGGTCCCAGGCAGCCCCGGAAGTGGCCAACACATTCGCAGGCCACCGTGCACCAGGCTGCAGCCGTGCCGTGGCCCTGTCATGGGCTTTGCCACTTCTGCCACCCCACACGCTGTTCCCTGCTTACATTTAAAACCGCCCAAAACGAACCTCATCCTAGGCAACATTGTGTATGAACCCCACGGCCGGCCGTCCACACAACCGCCCGTCATCGGCATCTCAAGCCAGGCGTGTTCATGAGCAGGGCCGAGGGGTGCGGGAATGGACGCCGTAGGTTCAGAAATCACACAATAAACACACGCAGATTTGACTCTGTGAAATCTAAAACTCTGCCGATTCACAAACAAACCTCGGAAACCCAGCTCGGGGCCTTTTCCGAAATCCGAGAGGGCTCCAAGTGAGGCCAGCATCCGAGTGGACATTGTCTCACCCGATCCACGCGGGCTCCTCTGCCTGTGGCTGTGGCAAAGCCAGACCCGCCCAGTGCCTGGCCTCAGGGAGTGCAGCTCAGGGCACCGAGTGAGAGACGGAGCCCTTGTCCCAGAATGAGACCGGCCCAGCGGCTGAGGAAGGCACAGCTGAGCGGTTCTGCTCTCAGGTTCACCCTCGCGTGAGTGGGAAATGAGCCTTCTGGCCCGCCCTTTGCTAGTCACCAGGCGCTGAACCCCACCGCGGAGTCGCTGGCGGCTGGTGGGTTTACGGCCCCAGACATGGCAGGGGCCACAGCAGGGAGGTGGGGGCGCTTCTTATGGGGACTCAGGCCTCCGTGGGCGTGGGAGTCCCCCAGTTCCCGGGATGATGACTCTGCGTCTGCCCTGACAGTGGGTGGCACCCACAGGCGCTGGGATGTGGTCAGTCAGCCCCCAAACCCCTCCTCTGCTCTGTGACAACGTCCGCGGTCTGTGTGTTAGCCGTGCCCGTGGTCACCATGCTGTGCCGTGCCTTTCCACACTCGCTGAACGTCGTACTGTTTGACCCCACGCCGGAAGGGACCAAGCGCCCTCTGACGTCCCACTACGGGTCTTTGTCCTTCCTCCCCCGGTCAGGGCCTGCGGGCCACAGCGTCCATGCTTTTCCTAGCGCAGTGCTTCCCTGGTGGGCTGGGCTATGCTGGCGCCTGGGCCCAGCGGGAGGGCTGGGAGCGGCCTTGCCTCTGGCCATGCCGCACCCTGGTAGCAGCCCCCTCACAGAAATGTCCCCAGACACGGTCCAGCGTCCCCTGGGCTGGGCACAGAGCTGCCTTCCTCTGAGGCTCTGCTCCCTCTCCCCAGCCGTCCCATTGGCGTCCCCTTCCCACGCCAGCCCCCGGACCCGCGTCTGTCCCTTCTCCCAGGGCCCCGGGGCTCCTGGAGCCCCTCTGCCTCTGCTGCTTACTGCTTGCTCGCGTCCCCGCGGTCTGAGCCCCTCCTCTCTCACGGGGAGGCCGAGGCCCAGGTGGGGGCCGCGTCCCAGCCCCAGGTCCCCTGCGGATGTGCAGTGACACAGTGACCTGTGCCTGCCGTGCCAGCAGGGACTGGCTGGCCCTGGAGTGCGGCCTCTCCTGGGGCTGGAAGTTCCGGAGCCTGTAAAGGAGCAGCCCATGGCCCCTCCCACCCAGGACCAAGAGCCCCTGTGCTGTCCCCCTCCCCCCCGGGCGGGGCATCTGACGACTGGGGACAGCCCCTTGCTGCTCAGGCCTCAGATGTCATCCACACCAGCCAGTCCCAAGTCACTGACCACTCCCTCCTGTGGGCATCGCAACAGGGCCTCCTGGGCCAGTGTCCCCTCCTGCCCACCACGGTGCTGCCCCTGGCTCAGGACAGGGGCACCGAGCCCCCTTCTCCATGAGCGGAACCAAGGTTCTGTAAGGTCCCTGCAAAAGCAGTCGCCCCCTGTGCATGGGCCTCCCCAAGCCTAAGTGACAACCCCCGCATTAAATCCAGGTGGGGAGGGGGCACCTGCCTTGTTCACTCTCTTAGCCTCCCACAGTGCCCTGCACGACAGCTCAGTGACTCACTGAAATGTCATCGGTCGTGGCCAGTGCTGTGGCACAGCCAGCTAAACCACTCCCTGTAGCACCGGCATCCCATATCGGCACCAGTTCAAGTCCCCGGTGCTCCACTTGCAATCCAGCTCCCTGCTAATGCACCTGGGAGAGCAGTGGAAGACGGCCCGAGTGCTCGTGCCCCTGCACCCACGCTGGGGAGCTGGGTGGAGCTCCAGGCTCCTGGCCCAGCCCCGCCATGGATGCCATTTGAGGAGTGAACCAGCGATGGAGGATCTCTCTCTGCCTGGCCCCCTCTCTCTGTGCCTCTGCTTTGCAAATACATAAATCATCTTTAAATATGTCATCAGTAATTGGGACTTTTCCTCCCAAGCCTCTGCTGCTGTCTGCGGGCCGTGTGTTCCCTGTGGACTGTTTCCGCCTGCAGGAGACACAGTGCCCCGTCCGGCTCCCCCGGGGGTGGGCAGACCCAGATCAGGGAGCCTCAGGCTGAGGGTTTGGCTGTCGAGTGACACGTGGACTGAGAGGGGGCGAGTTTTTCCGGATCAGGTTCTGCCTGGTCGTGCGCATCAGCAAGACAATCACCAAAACGCAGCCAGACCAAGAAAACCGGCACAGCCGGATCTGTTTGGCGAAGAGCACTTAGCAAAACTGAAAACTGCAATTTTTAAGCTTCCGCATCTAAGTCAAATTAAAAATATGGATATTCATTTATTTATTCTAGAGGCAGAGCCAGGGATAGGAGAGAGAAAGATCTCCCATTCTGTTTCACTCCCCAAATGCCGGGACGCGCCAGGGTGAGGCTGAGGCAGGAGCTCCATCCAGGTCTCCCGTGTGGGTGGCAGGGACCCAGCACTGGGGCCGTCAGCACCGTCTCTGGGAGTGCACGTTAGCAAGAAGCCAGAATCGCGCACAGGCTGGGGCCCCGGCGACTTCACTGTGGGATGCAGGCATTGCAAGCGGTGTCTTAACCATTGCACCAAACACCTGTCCTTAAGGATTATTTAGTAGACAAGTCATAGCCGTACAAGGCACTTGGAAAGCTGCATGGAAAATGTGATTGAAAGCTAAGTTTATTTTGGTGTGAAAATTTGCGCTTGCCATGTGCTGTTTGAAGACCCCTGGAGTGCACGGGTTTCAACATTCGTGGCGCCAGCAGGCACTTTCCAGCCCATTTTCCCAGGGGCACGCCGAGGTAGGAGCCTGGTGTGTATTCGGGGCACCCTGTGACGTGGCGTCTGCCTGGCCCAGTGTCCCGCCGTGTGGGTGCCCCCTGGCCCACGGCTTCTGCTGGGGCACCCGGGCTTAGAAAACGCTCATGGAGGGGCTGACGGCGCTCACCGAGAGCGGGGCCCAGTGTGAGCCGCCCACTGGTCCGGAGAGACCAGGCCAAGGCTCCACCTGCG